GCTCTTCTCCCTACAGTTTCATTTCCAATTGACGTGGTTACCTGGGGCAACTGGGTCAATAGGTGGAACTACAGAAAACTACAGTCATAGCTAAATAGGGTTTTACTGGGATGTCACAGGCACCCAGTCTACTCGGCTGAGCATCAAGGAAACCAGATGGGAGGTGAAGAGGGGTCCTGATTCTCGCCCCTAGGAGAAGAATTCAGTTAAGAAAGCATCTGTAGCCTTTGGGAATGATCTCTGAAAAGGCAGGCAATGAAGAAGCCCCTCAATTCAGTTAATTCCCTTGCTGCAATCTCAGCATCGTCATTGAGTATGAAATTATTCCAGAACTGTCTTGTCCTGTAATGAGTTCTCAAAGGAGGAACTCTGCCCCTCGGATTTTACAGCGTGTTTGAGCACGAAGGGATCTTAGCAATCAGCTAATATAACTAATTCTACAGATTAAACACACAGACACGGACGCACTGAGACCCAGAGGGATGGACGAGCCAAAGTCATCCAAAGTCACACAGCCCAGGGGAACAAAATCTCCCCTCCTCCGCTTTTCCTGCCCAGTGATCTATCACTGAACCCAGATTACTCCTTTAGCATAAGTACAACCTAAGCATTTAGGTAAAAAATAAAGCCATGGGACAAAGCATGAAAGCCACAATGTCTGAAGTCAGCCAGCCATGTGAAGGGCTCCCTCATGACAGCCACATGATAATGCGGGGGCCAAGCTCCGGGCACTGGAGCCAGACTATTTGATTCAAGGCCTGCATCTGCACTAACCTTGGGCGACCTGAACATGAGACGGCTCAGTTTCTCGTGTGGAAGACGGTGATCATAAGAATAGCTGCCCTTACAGAGTTGGTGTGAAGGTTTAAATGAGATGATAGATGGAGAGGGCTTCGCAAAGTGCTCACCACATAGTAAGTGCTCCATAAATGCTCACCAAGATGCTTAACGATTTTCCTTTTATCAAGCTAGAAAATTTAAAATTCTATCTCTCCTGTGAATTGGTAGAGTTACATGTAGGGCACCCGCGTAACTAAGGAGAAACTCTGTATAAAAGGAAAAAGCAGGATATTTCAGCACCAAGGACAGAAGCCCAAAGCCCCCCACACAATGAACCCCATCTCCTGCTATTATGTTAGTTAAGCAATGCCCATGGTTGTGGTGGCAGAGGTGGCAAGTATCATGGGTATCCTAATTCTGTCCAAGCACCATGAATACAAAACCCTCCCATCCTTCCATGCCATGAGTCAGTGAGGGTTCCGCTCACTGGGTTCCTAGTTTGGCAGCTCTACTGGGGCCCTGCTGGCCATTTGTCTCAGGCCTAGGGTGGGTTGCGACCCTTCCTGACCTCAGCTGCCTGGCAGATGAAGGGGGCTTGGGGCATTCCCTCGTTCAGCAGCTCCAGAGAGCCCCTTCAATACGCCAGGTCTACGTGCTGAGAATCTGCTCGTAAATAAGATGGACATCACTCCTGCCCTTCTCTCTCTTGTAGAGATAGAGATAAAAGAATGAAATAATACCATCTACC